AAAGCTAGTGCTAATTAACCGCTGTAAATGCCATAAGCCGAGGCAAATTGCCAAGTTGAGGACCTCTAATATTTGTTTGAAAACCCAGGCAACTAGAACGCAATTTAGGTGACCATGTGACCATTGCAACAAGTCAAGTGTGAAACCAGACAGCATTACCCGAAAGGACTGTAAGACACCTCCACCATCGTCACAGCCACTACGAACTCCGGGTGAGAGTTGAATAAAAATTTGAGACACTGTCGTGTTCTATTTTCTTTTATATTTTATAATAACTTAATTTGTACCCTTTTATTGTTTCCATCCCATACCTGCTGGGGTGTCGGGGGGAAAGGAGAAATAATTAATACTCTATTCAGTAGGTTGGCGTCCAAATTAACATCTTTCATATACATATTTCTCGTTTCTTCCCGAANTTTCTTAGTTTTCACTACTCTCCCTCGACCTTTCCGGCTTGGGTGACCCTGCCAGGAGTATAAAACTCCCGCCGGTTTAGCTCTTGGGTTCACTGTAGCTACTTAAGCCCCTCCACCAGCGACATGGTTATACAGCTCCCAGGAGGGGTCTGTGTTACTTAATTCATTAAGTCATGTATTATAGTCTTCTATTATGTGCTAATTATGATTTTTGTCTGGTTGAGTGGAAGAGCGCTGCCATTTGATCTTGTGTTGGATGGATGCGAACTCTGCCTTTTGCATGGCTTAATATTTCATGAAGATTTTGTATGTATGTATGTGAGTATATTGTAATGTCATTTTATTAGTCGTGTAATTTATTTGTATATTTATTTGTAGGTATATATGTATAATTTATGTTTATGTACCTTTGGATAGCTCAGATTGTCAAATAGGAAAATCTACTTACCTCCAATTGATTAATCAGTGAAATTTATATTTTGTTTTTCTTTTTTATAAATTTAGATTTCTTTTTACCACGATAAGTTATTCTTAGAATTAAATTTTGATTAATATGAAAATTTATTAATTTTGAAATTAAAAAATTCTTCAAAACAAAATAAACCTGAAAGTATTAATTTTCCTATAGGGCCAGTACTATTAACTAATTAACTTCTTTCTATTGACAATTATATATAAAATCTCTCAATTATTTTCTAATTTTGGACACAGTTTTGCTCCTTCCGTTCAACTTTTATGATGCTGTCACGTTTTTCTAAAGTTCTACTGCAATTCTCGTATCTAACTACTCTGCTCCAAGAACAAATCTTCTACCGTCTGTCTGCTCCTCTATTACATCTGGTATTTGGTCCTCCACAGGAGACTCTATCCTCTGGGAAAGGTTGATAATTTAATATTTGTCAATTAATTACCTTTTTTTATTCCTGTTTATGTTTTATATACACGATTTCCGTCTTCTTTAATTATTTCTGGACCTTTTAATTATTTAAATTATCTTCTCTTCGTATTTCTCTTAACTTTTTGATTAATTATCTCCTTTCTTTATTTTTCTCAAAATCAACTTACAAACTTTCTTTTCTTCCTGTTTCCAAGTAACCACACTCCTGTTTTCACGTTTTAATTTTTCATTGCTCACTATTTAATTTATTTAATAACTATTTTACAATAATTTCACATTTATACTAAAAAAATCAATTTCCACTCCTCATACACAACGCCGGTAGCCCCATTAAATTTTACTGTTTTTAACAATTCGATAACTTCAAAAAAATGCACCAGACTTTTGGGAGTGTATATTGACGACAATTTAAGATGGTCGGATCATATATCCTTATTAATTAAAAAGCTTAATCAGTCATACTATGCGTTATTAAAATTAAGACAATCACTGCCAGTGACTTCATTGTTAACTATTTATTACAGCCTGGTTTATAATCTGCTTACTTATAATGTAGTGTAGTGCCACCGACATTGTTAGATTATTTAGATCGCAGAAAAAAATTATGAGAATTATTTTCAATCTCTCTCCTAGAGACTCTTGCAGGCCGGTTTTTATTAATAATAAAATTATGAGTTTGCCCTGCATTTATATATTTCATTCTTTATTATACATCAAAGAAAATTTTAACAAATATCTTCATAGTTCGTCTCGGCATCATTACACAACAAGGAATCCCAATTTATTGGTATTACCGAGGCATAGAACTCATAAATTCGAACAATCTATTTCATATGCGGGTATTAAGATGTATAATCATCTTCCTAATTGTTTTAAAAATTTACATGTATTGCATTTTAAACGCAAAGTCAAGGATCTGTTATTAAGTAAATGTTATTATATCTTAGATGAATATTATTTAGATAAGGATCTTTTGACGGTGTAACTGTTGCACTCCATGCTATTGTTGCTATTATTATATAATTTGTAATTTTGTTCTTGTAAGTTTAGTGTATGTTTGTGCACATGNAAAATTACAGATGATGATGGAAATTTTAACGTTTGCATTCCACTTAATATGTTAATGGGCTATTTTGAAGACTATAAATAAATTATTTTAAATATGAAACAAGAATTAGTTTTGATTCACACCAATAATGACTTAGATGCTATCAGACGATACTGAAAAACCTAGTTACAATTAATAAAATTTTTTGGAGAGTTCCACACGTTTCAGTAAAAATAAGTAATAAGCTTGAAACACCCAGGCACGTAGTCGTCGCATTTCAGCATAATAGAAAACAAAAAATTACAAGTGATATGAGTTGGTTTGACAACATTAACTTGACCAATATTCGAGTATTTTGAAATAGCGGGAGATATCCACATCAAGATCTTTATTTAAATTTTAAGGCTAAGAAGCTTGCTTCTCTGTATGAGATGTTTTCAAATTTTCGAGCATCTTACTATGAAACAACGAAAGAACCTGTTTACACACCCGACGAATTTTCATCTATTTGCCCGATTGTGCATATAGATTGCTCTCGACAGAAAGAGACGGTGCAAAGTGGATTGAACTTGAGAAAAGCGAAAACGTGGTTAAAGACACTACTGCATACTGCTTAATTTTACATGACAGATTATTGCGCTATAATCCTCTGACAAAAATTGTTAGACAGGTTTAATAACCGGTTAAACAGTTTTATACCGTAACAACATGTATATAAGTACAGTACACGATGATCTTCAGATATAGAAAAGCCTTGCAAGAGTTCATAGAAAAGCTTAAACAATTAAGAAGAGAAATTGATTTATATTATTTAAAAATATATGTGTTGAAGCAGTTGAAAAACTTAAAAATATGACATTAGTATTACTTTCAAGGATTCAAAATTGAAAACAATATATCGTTAAAGAACTGGCTGCTTTTGATGGAGAGAAGATGTTTCATCACTTGTTTAAAGCACCCTTTCCGTTCAATATGTTGTCACCACAGTCTCAGAGGCATGGGCTATGGCTGACAAAAAAATCATCATGGACTCGACTGGAATGAAGGATTCATACCATTATACAAGCTAGGAAATATTCTACAACACATGCCCAATCCAACTGATACTATTTATGTAAAAGGGAAGGAAAAGGCAGACTACATCAGGTAGTTTGTTCAACTTCCCGTAGTTGAACTGCTAGAGCAACCTGTATTTCAAAAAGATACACCAAAATGCTTTTATCATTGTGAAAATTATTGTATTTGTGCACTTTCAAATGTATATTTTTTATTTGATACTTTTTGTAACCCGTTTAATTTTTAATAAAATATAAATAATAAATATTTGTTTCATTTCAATAAAACGCAATGTAACAATACATTTTTATGAAGAAACACATTAACAAAATCTTTTAATATTTAATATATATTTTATGTCTGTGACTACTATCTAATACAGGATTTATAATATTTGACAGCTTAGCTATTTTTCTTTGGAAACGCTCTCTGTCACTAGCAAAATTTTCCCAGTATCTCTTCCTAGATTCTTTATATGCAAACGGCCAGGCTATAAGGATGTGTATTTTATTTTCTTGTTCATTAAATGTAACTTTCTTCATTACGGCCACACTCAGCTTCAAATACTTTTGGATACAAATAAATTAATTCCATAATCATGGAGAAATTTTCACTATTTCGATTTTTTGACGGTTGGAGTAAATTCACTGCATTTTCAATTATATTTCCAGCTTGACTCTGCAACCCTTTTTGCACAAACATAAAGTAATTAGGGAACTGTAATCTCTCCAATATAGCCAGTCGATACTCGATCATAGATACATATTCCCATAAAATGCATATAGTTTCATAGCCTAGGAATATGTAAGAATTATTTTTCAAAATCTTTACAACTCGAGAATTTTGGACTTCTACAAACTCTATACGAAATTTTTCATCTTATACGGGATCAATGGAAATATTCCATTCTTCTATGTTGAGCATTAAAGCGTCACATTTATTTCTACTTAGTGTTACATAGGGTTCATAATTAAAATCATGCTAATCCGATAGACACAAATTTGGTTTTTGATTTGTTTAAATGAAATTTTCTTTCACCTATCACACAATCATTTTTATTCTGAAATGCTGGTGGCAGGGTATTCGGTATATCGATTTTAAGATCAGGTAAATCGAAAATACTTGCCTGGTACGACATTTTAAAATAAACTAAAAATAATGTTCAATTTAAAGTCATTCAGAGCATTGTAGTTTGGGAGGGCAAAGGGTGGGAGGGTGAATTAGAACTCTCCGTCGTCTTATTGGCTGTGTTAAAATGAAGCGGGGCCAAGTGGTGGGAGGAAAGTAGTGGGAGGGGCGGATTAGAACTCTCCGTCTCCTTATTGTCTGGGTTAAAAAAATGAGGCGGGGCCAAGTGGTGGGAGGAGTGTAGTGGGAGGGGCGGATTAGAACTCTCCGTCTTCTTATTAGCTGAGTTAAAAAGAGGCGGGACCAAGTGGTGGGAGGAAAGTAGTGGGAGAGGCGGATTAGAACTCTCCGTCTTCTAATTGGCTGGGCCAAAAAAGTGGTGGGGTGGTAAAAAGGGCTGGGGGGTGGATTAGAACTCTCCAATATACTCTACTGATATTATTTTAATATACAGGGTGTTTCGCATAAAAACTGACTCAGAGCAGGGGAACCCAAAAAATGGTGATTTAACGCAATCTACTGCTACCACTACTACCACTACTACCACTACTACCACTACTACCACTACCACCACTACGACCACCACTACCACCACTACGACCACCACTACCATCACTACGACCACCACTACCACCACTACGACCACCACTACCATCACTACCACCACTACCACCACTACCACCACTAATACCGCTACCACCATTACCACCATTACTACCACTACTACCACTACTTTTTTTTTCGAGAGGGGAAATCCATCATGGATACCTGGACTTATGTTCTATCGCCCCAGGTTATGTCGAAGTTTAACCGGCTAAAACACCTCTCCTCTCTGCAATCTAAGTGTTGGCATCGTTCTTGGACATTTATCAGCACCTAGAGTTTCCCTGTTAGTTTTCCTGCTTTCTCTTCCTCTCTCTTCCCTTTCCTTCGTTTACAACATTGTGGCAATATAATTTCTGACAACCTTCCAGCTCCAAACCCCTCTCAGCATTTCGCTGATTATGTTATCCGCAGTAAGGACTACTCCGAGCTGACCATGCAATTCTTCCCTGTCTGTAGCCCATCTTGTACCCATTCAAACACCGAGTGACCTGGGGTATCCCGTTGTCCGCACTCAATGCATTCTTCTCCTTCAGCTTTCCCAATTCTGCAAGTATATTGTTTGAATGACCCACGGCCCGAAAGGAACTGGGTTAAATAATAATCCACCCTTCTGCGAGGATCCCCTTAGATTTGGGAGAACTCTCTGTAAGGCCCCTGTGTGCCGATCAGCCTTCGCACATACTTCCGAAACATGCTTTCCAAACGTAGCATGCACGTCGAAATGGATGACGAGGTACTTTACTGAATTTTTGGGCCTAATGCTCATCCCCTGTATCACAAAATCCACCACTGGTCTCCTTTTAAATCCTTTGAGCAAAACCACCTCAGTTTTCTCCGGCGCCAACACTAACTTGTGGTCCTTCATCCAATCATCGATTTTGCTGAGGGCCCGGTCTGCTTTCCATTTCAGTTCTTCCGGGCGGTCTGCTACTACCAAAATCGCAAGGTCATCCGCAAATGCCACTGACAAGACCCGGTCTCCCATATTTAGCCTTAATACACCATCATACAGGACATTCCAAAGGGTCGGTCCTATTATCGATCCCTGTGGCACTCCCATGGACACCCAATTTCTTCCCCTGGAGAAACCTGGACTCTACGATCTTTAAAGTAGTCCTCCACCATCCTAACAAGATAGTCTGGTATTTGTCTTCTCCTCAATTCTTGTATAATAATAATCCAGGACGCCGTGTTAAACGCATTTCTGACATCTAACGTAAAAAGAGTACACATACGATGTCTCGATTGCCTGACACAACCCTTAACAAATTCTGCAGCCTGTACCCTGGAGCGTTCCTTCCAAAATCCAAACTGCCTGGGTGATAGTCCTTCTCTTCTCTTCAGTTCAGTGGTGAGCCTATTCCTGATCAATGCTTCAAATAATTTCCCCAAGGTATCCAACATGCAAATCGGCCTATACGAGGTCGGAGCATCGATAGGGTGCTTTCCTTTCCAAATTAGAGCTAATTTTGCATTTTTTTCATGCATTAGGGTGTGACGTGGTATTTTTGTCGTTCGTCACTATGACGCCTGAGCGGCGGCGGTTTTCTCGGGCGCCAGTTTCTGTTTGCAGAAGTGCAGAAACACCACTACGCGGGCGGCTGCAGTGAAGACACGGTATGTCCAGAGGGTCTAGAGAGAGTTAGACCTCACACAGGAATAAAAGTCACACAATTGGTATATATTTACATTTATTTAGGCCAATTCTACCTTTAACTTACTTCGGTGATGGTCGGATTGGACGGCTTCTGGTGATGACAGGAGATGGACCCAACTGCTCGCTGCTCCGGCTGGATGTCGACTGCCTCTCCACAAGCGGCGTGTTGGAAAGGTTCCTGAAGTGGTTTCTGGCGGCTGCGCGGTTCTGCCAGGCTGGACTTAACAGAATCTTACCAATTCCTGTTGGTGACGTAGTTTGGGGCTGGAGCGGCTCGACTGGTTGCAACGGCGGCTGGTGAGGAACTGAATTTCCAAATTCAGCTTATTTCCTAGGTTCCTTGTCTCGGATTGGCGGCTGCGCACTTCTTCTAGGTTGGACTTGTGAAATTTTACCTACTTCCTGCGGTGACGTCTCGGTTTGCTGGAGTTGTTCTCAGGCTGGATTGGTTGCTACGGCGGCTCGTGAGGAACTGAATCTCGGACGGCAGCTTGTTTGCTGTATTCGTACGGCGGATCCTGGCGGCTGCGCAGTTTCCTCAGGCAGGAATTAGTGAAATTCTTACCAATTTCTTACTGGTGACGTAGGTCTTACTGGAACGGCTGACGGCTCGACTGGACTCTGGACGATGCCTCGTGGTGAACTGTGTGAACTGTCGCTCCTGCAGCGGCTTAATTCCTAAGCCCTGGCGATGCTTCGGCAGCGGCTGCGTAGTTCTCCTAAGCGGGACTTGTAAAATTCTTACTCAGGTGGTGGTGACGTATTGCTGGCTGGACGGCAGGCGGGACTCGGTACGACTGGTCCCTAGGCTGGCAGGCGGAAGACTGGCGTACACGGTGTGGATTTGCCGGCCATTGGCTTGGCGCTACGCGGTGACGGACGGCGTTTGAAATGCCATTAATAATGCCGGTACGGTAAACTATATTTATTAATAAAATTAAATAGAAAGGAACACAAATGTGGGGTGTTGGAAAAATCACTTCGTTACACCCCCCTCTTACTTCCGCTAAAAAAAATAAAAATGAAATTTTTATGTTTTTCCTAAATTTATCCCTAATTTTAGAAAGTGCATACCCCACGCAGGTTAAAAAAACTTTACTTTGGGGTATGTTCACTTTTCACAAGAACTAAAAACTAGCTAAATCAAAATCAAGCATCTATACAAAACTAAAAGAAATTTAACATTCTTTATAGCAAAATGTCCCTGAAAAATAGAAAATTGACATAAAACGGTACTGATCGGGTTTCGGGTCTTCCGGCTCAAGACAGGAGATCACATTGGACGCTCTTGGAAATGGTTTCTAGTCGGCGGAAAATATCGGGGAAATAAACTTGCACCCCTTTTGATGCAGTCTGATGTCCGGGAAGTGAACGTGATCGGTGCCGAGGAGTTGCGGTCTGGCAGCTTCTGCTGGTGACGTTATGCGGGCGGTTTTTGCATGGGCAGTCTCTAGACATTATGCCATACTGACCACATCAGGAGCAAAACAGTCGTCGTGTACGGGTGCAGGTTTGGCGGATATGACCAGGATGTCCACATCTCCAACATAATCTGTGTTGCTTTACCGGTAGATAGGTTGGATAGTCTGTCGATGATCGTGGCGGCGGTTGAAAGTCTGGTTCTGGCTGAGTTTTCGGAATTCTTGCGGGCGGTACTTCTAGGGAAACTCCTGTTGCTGGAACGGTAACTTTTTGAACTTCGGTGCTTGCGGTGTCCCATGGTTGACGGTTGATGGACGGTTGCCTCTTGTGCGCAGTTTGTTGCTGCGAAGGCTTGTACCGCTGACACTGCATACCACTTCGTACGTACTTGGCGATATCGCGGAACATACCAGGCCAGTAGTATTTCTGTGACATGCGAGCAATGGTTTTAGCAATTCCCATGTGTCCAGCGGACGGAGCATCATGGTTCTTTTGCAAAACCGCTGAGCGGAGCGGCGTGGGGACGCATAACTTCCATGGATCGGGTTCGGTTAAGTCGCTTGAATCCCAGAAGTGGCGGAACAGACGGTTATTGCGTATGCAATAATCTGGGAATGCTTCAGGGCTTCTTTCGACCCCGACTTATTTCTGCTATACCCAGAACAGTTTGGCGGCTCATTCAGGACGCAGAGTTCTCCGGTGCTTGATGTAGAAGAAGTTCCTTCTATCGGCTGACGGGACAAAGCATGGGCTACTCGGTTTAGGGTTCCTTTGCGGTATTTAATTTCGAAGTCGTATTGTTGCAGAAATACCTCCAGCTCCATCTGGCTAGACGGCCGGCAGGACTTTTGATGGAATGCAGCCATCGCAGAGATTGATGGTCGGTCAGGACGGTGAAGTGATAGCCTTCAAGATACGGTCTCATCTTCTCTATGCCCCACACTATAGCCAAACACTCTCGTTCAGTGACGGAGTAATTCTTTTCGGCAGGCGACAGTGTGCGACTAGCATACGCTATCACTCGGGCGTATCCGTCGATATTCTGGGTAAGAGCTGCTCCCAGTCCATGGTCGGAGGCATCGGTCTGGAGGGTAAACGGTTTCTCGAAGTCCGGACAGGTTAAAATCTGAGTTTCGGTCAGACAGTTCTTCAAGTGGTTGAAGGCTTCTTCTTGGTCACTGGTCCACTTGAAACGGTGATTTTTCCGGAGCAGTCGGGTTAACGGAGACACAATCTGGGAAAAAGCCGGTACAAAGCGTCGGTACCAGGAAGCCATTCCTAGGAAGCGTGGGACGTCTCTGATGTTTCGGGGGATAGGGAACTTCTTGGTCGAGTCCACCTTGTCAGGATCTGTCTGAATCCCTTCAGCGGTGACGATATGTCCTAGGTATTTGAGCGACTTCCTGAAGATCTCGCATTTGTCGGGGTTTAGCTGCAGGTTAGCCATTCGTAGTCGGCGGAATACTTCCCGTAAGTTGTCCAGGTGTTCTTCAAAGGTCTCCCCTAATACGATGATGTTATCCAGGTAAGAAAACGCATAGGGTTCCATTTCTGGTCCAATGATCCTATCTAGGAGTCGTTGGAATGTAATAGGAACCGAGTGAAGTCCAGAAGGCATGACTCGAAACTGGAACATGCCTCTGCCGGGGACGGTGAAAGCAGTGATCGGTTTGCTGTCGGCAGTAAGTGGTATTTGCCAGTATCCCTTTTTGAGGTCTAAACTGGATATATTCTGGCCTTGCGAAGCTTGTCCAGTATCGCGTTGATGTACGGTAATGGGTAGGCGTCTTTTTCGGTAACCTCGTTGACCTTTCGGAAGACGATGCAGAATCGAAGTTTTCCATCCCTTTTGCGAACGATGACGACGGGTGAACGCCACGGGCTGTCAGACGGCTCTATTATACTGTTGTGCAGCATTTCATCAACTCCTTTGTTGATAATGTCCTGCATCTTCAGGTTTTGCTGGCAGTACCTTTGTTTGATTGGTTCAGACTGTGACAGGCGGATCTGGCATCTATCAAGCCAGTAGTACCATGTAAATCCTTGAAGCTAGGTAACTCGGTCTCCAAGAAGGATTTTAGCTTCTCTTCCCTCGTTGGTGTTGGGATTGACGACAGAACCTCTAAGGGATCT